GAGGAGGAACTTTTTTTTTAGTTAAATGCTGTATGTGGGGCGGGGGACGGGCTCTTTACAAAGTTTACTTTTTATATACTTAGAACGGCAGAATTATTAGTAAAAATATGGTGGATTTATAAAAAATGTTTTTTTAATGCACATTTTCATTTGCATGAATTTTTTAAAAATAAAAAAATTTTTGTTTTGATTTTTCATTTCTTTTCTCACATTTTTAGAAGGATAACTGTTTTTTATTTCAGTTTCTAACTTTAATTAATATTCCCATTTGACACTTGTTTAAAAAATTATGTTATATTTAAAATATCCGAATTTTCACTATATTTCTTCCGAGCGAGGCGAGTAATTCCAGTTAAATTGTGAATTTTTTCAAAATGTGTGTTAATTCTGAAAATAAAGTTAAAAAAATAAAAAAAATGATTCAAGATATTGCTGAATATCTGTTTTCATATTAAAAAAAATACTTTAAAAGAAATATGTAACTCGTTCCTTTGAGACGGACATGTTCCGTCCGAAACGTTCTCCACGCTTCGTAACGTATATTGAGTATATGTGTACCTTTTTTGAGCTGTATGCTTTTTTGGTGTATTACGATATTTGTAAATGATCACAGTTCTCAGAATTAAAGTATGTTCGACTGGAAATTGAGTTTTTTCTTTCACCGCTAAAGATTTCAACTAAACAAGGCCTTAAAAGAAACAGGGCGTATTTGTGGAGTTCAGACAACCAGAGGAACAACGCACTGTATTTTATGTTGCAAAAAAATTCTATGACGACTATGCATGCAACGAAATTAACACTATATTGTTATACGTTGCAAAATAATGTACAAATCAAACCTCAAAACACTTCAAACGAACTAAAACCTATTCAGATTGTACAAAAAATGGTTCCATAGTTTGAATTTTCGAACAGAGTGAGCTGAAATAACAGAATTATGCAAAACAAAAGCATAATCGATTATAGTCTTCCATATTTAACTTGTAATGATTCAGCTTATGTCATAATGAGAGACTTTGTAGAATTAAACAGAGAGAGCGCAAACAATGGACAAACTATTATTTCATAAGTTACCAGGAATAAAACGCTATGTTCGGTTCGAAAGGAAACATTTTTAATAAATTCTTATTACACTTTGCTCCATATGACTCCAACACGCCGTACATGACATCCTTGTTTATTTTCTTGCTACAGTTTAGCAAGCTTGGTCTTCGAGCTAGAAAAAATTGTTGGAATTACATTTTGAAGATATGGTGTTAACTGCATTCTTTTATCACACCTGAAACAGCTCCAATATCCGTTTTAAACACAATTTTGCTTCGCACACGCACAAAACCACAAAAAAATATCAAAAGTTTTTAATTTTCACCGAATAGCCGTGCACTTTGTTGAATAATTTCGCGTTTCATTTGTTTGAATGTTGCGAGTTGCCAGGCTTGCCGGTAGAGGGCGCATCCCCTGACGCTTTTATACAGCGAACGTTTTGAAATCGGGGAAACTTAAAATGCTTGCAAACATATTAATTTGAAGCTATATGCGAGCAGATTCACCATACATTATATTTTAGGCTGCAAGATAGAGGAAAGTGGCTCTGGGCTAACATCTTTGAAATTTTGCTATGTGATAGTTCTGATCGCATGGATCAAGAGTCAATAAAGTCAGTCCTTTGTTTTGGACCTACGATCCCTGACAGTTACGCAACCAGATTAACAGTGTATTGTATTTTAGGTTGCAAAATAATTTTATAAAAGAAATCCAAATAAAATCACTTTTAATACCATTTCGTACTGCGTAGTGACTTTCTAAATCAATGTATTTAAACTAGTACTGCATACCACATTGCACAAACTATAAAAAAAAATTGTAGCACCTCAAAACTCAAAAAAAACTGCAAATTCACTATCAATCTCTTTATTTCACAATAAAACACTTGGTTATTGCAAAGAACGTATTTATTGTTTCATTTTAAAAAAAAAGAGGCATAAAAAGTTAACAATCAATCAAGCGTTAAATATTTGGTCCAATTTTCAGAAGCGGCGGCATCGGGAAGGGCCCAGCCGAACGGTATTTTAGAACCCATCTCGTTCGAGGGCGAAACCAAAAACGTGTCCCAGCTTTTCCTACAACGAAACAAAAAAATATTACTCGTCCGGTACAGAAACGACGGAGATAACTCTGAGGCTCACCGAATAGCTATAAAAGTTTCCGTGTCCCTCTCGGCAGCGGTAAGAGCCCAATAACTTTGATTCTCCTGCGGGATGACCTGCCTGAGCCCGAAAAAAATCCGGTACCACTCTCCGAGGAGCTTGCGCTCCTTGGCCAAGCGGGCCGTCTTGGAATCCTCGCTGGCGGTCTTCTCGATCATCAGTCGCAGGCCGTGCTCCTCGATCGTGTACGTTTTCATCGAGGATTCCCACATTCGTATCAACTTTTCTGCGAACATATATTCGGTTAAAATGTTTTTGTTCGATACATTTGTCTGTAAAACTCGTAAATTACCTGTTATAACATTAAACGCCTGTCGATCCTCCAAGGACACCCGCTCGCCCCTCTGGCCAGCTATCTGGTCCCGAACGGACCTCAACTTGGTCAAGCTAGAAACGAGAGACAACTGTTTCCGAGCGTCAGACTTTTTCTTCGTGACCTCGGCCAAGACACAATCCGCGTCTTTCTGCATGTCCTCTTCCTGCGTAAAACTACAAATTTCACGAATACGCTTTAAAAAAATAAACGTTACTTACCATTTTGGCTTTTTCCACCTCTTCCTTCATACCCCTCAACCACTCGTCGATGCTCTTGTGCAGTTTGCTCCTGTTCTCGTACTTCTCGCTAAGTTTTTGCTTCCAGAACCCCTTTTTTTTCTTCTCTCTCAGACGTTTTTTCTTCCTTTTATCCACGGCCCGTTTCAAAGCGAAAATCGCTTCGTTGTTCTCGAATTTAGACATCAGTCTCGTGAACTGGTCTTTTATCACACCGATCTCGACAGTTTTTTGCTTCCATTCCGTCGTGGACATGCTAGCCACGTTGTCCTGTAAATTTTGTTGGGTTTCTGCGAGTTTATCGAGCAGCCCGAGGCACTCCTTCAGTGACTTCTGGGCGTCGTTAATAGATAGGTTGTTACCTTTGTTAATTTTTACTTTCGGGATTGGTCTGTAAACGCAGTTTTGCTGCAGCCACGAGTCGATCCACAGTTCGTCGTTACTTTGACTGTACAATGTCTCGAAAACGTTAGTCCTTGGGTCAGTACCGAGAGGCACTTCAGTGTTAGGCGAGCGTACAGAAAAGTTCTTGTATTTGAGAAAATTCATGATTAAAAAAAGGATTATAACTAAATTTATAAGTTTAAATAGTTAATTGTTTGTTAATACGATTCGAAAGCACTTAACACATATGCACTTCACCAGCTTTCGGCAACTGCTGTTTAGCTTCTTCCAACACTTTCTTAGCAGCTAAGTAGTCCTCGGTATCTTTCAAGTCTTGTTCAGTATCAAGTATGCCCTTTAAATCGTCGTAAGCTGTCAAAAGTCTTCTTTGGCAATCTGGAACCATCATCAAACTTTCGGTTAGCACTTCCTCTTGCTTGCGAATCTCGTATTCGTCTCGCCCGTCTTTCTTCAACTTCTCAATACGGATTTTCTGTTGTTCTGCCTCGCGTTCGTATACGGTCTTTTCCTTGGCTAACCTTCTCACTACACCTGTTTTTATTTTAATCGTTCTGAAGCGTGGATCTGCCATTGCACGGATTTCTACTAGAAAAGGAGATTTTGTGGTGTTAAACCTTTAAAAAACATGGGCCAAAATGTCTTTACACTTTTCAGATCTTTGGCATTTTTTTTAAATAAACCAGACCAACAAAATGTCCCTCACAAAAATAATTTAGTAACACAGAACATAGTCATAGAACAGAACAGACTCATTGATGTTCACCGTTGTCGTTTGTCAAACGAAGAAGGCTAATGATTGGCCATAAATAAGAAACTTAATATAATTGGCCATAAATTAAAAATGTAATATGATTGGCTATTGTGACTTACTTTCATAAACCAATAAAATTCGAGATACTTCAAAAATCTATATTGAATGTAAATAGTTTTTACACATTATTTCCTGGCTATAGAGTGTTTTACATAATTAAGATAAATATACCCAGCAAAATAAAATAATTCCCCAAGTAATACATATTTTACTATCACATTAATATTAAACAAATGCATAAATTGAAAAATGTGGGTAAATAACATTTAACACACTTCAGCTATCGGTAACTGTGCTTTAGCTTCCTCTAAGGCCCTATGGGCTGCCAGATAGTCTTCCGTTTCCTTCAAATCTTGTTCCACCTCCAGAATATTCCTCAACTCCTCGAAAGCAGCGAGAAGTTTTCTCTGGCAATCTGGTACCATCATGTGACTCTCGTTTAACACTTCCTCTTGTTTGCGAATTTCGTACTCGTCTTTACCGTCCTTCTTGAATTTCTCTACGCGGATTTTTTGTTGTTCTGCCTCACGTTCGTACACGGTCTTCTCCTTTGCTAACCTCTTGACAACACCTGTTTTTATTTTGATAGTTCTGATGCGTGGATCTGCCATCGTACAATGTTTTGAAATTTATTTCACCACTAATCAGCAAGCAAACCAAAACGAGTCGTCTATTGATTCCACCGACTTCTTTTATGAATGAAAATGAAAACAAGGGGCCGAGATTATTGAGTGACTCATATGATTGCTTTTACACGACACATCAAATATATCAAACACTCAAATTAAGTGGTTTTTCAAGGACACAAGGGATTAGTGATAAATCATCAGTTTTAAAGTATTGTATTATAATCAGGGCCCGAGAACTTATACTTGAAAATATGGGGACACTGGGAACCACGTGACTTGAGATGGATATACAAGTTGGGGAAAGAGTCTATAGATGTCGCCACAAAGATTTTGTAGAATAAATTTTGACAATTGCAATTATGAATCATTTCATGTCATTCTTATTGTTCATGTTTATTGTTGGTTAGGTTTGGCGAGTGTTGGTGTGTGTTTTATTTGTGTTTTTAGTGTGTTTTATTAGATATTTCATTCACATTTATTTATATAACATAATAATGTCTGATCATCATATAATCACATTTTTTTATTAATAATAAAATATTGTTTTTTTGTTTTTTTTTTAATAAAAAATGTGATCAGAGGTAGGTAGTTTTTTTTATGGATATCAACACAACGAAAAATTTAAAGTTGCATAATAAATCTCTATTACAAGAATTAATCAAAGATTGGTTTAGTAAAATTATTTACTTGTAATATTTTTTTATTCACCGTGAAAGCTAATACAATATAGAAAGCACTGAAACTCTATAATCATTTTCACTCTTTTTTTTTCAAAATATGTACTGAAATTTGAAATTTTTTCAACAAACATTTTAAAAAGTTACAGTATCAAAATTATTTCTTATTTTAAGTAGGAAGACTATTAGAGCATTTAAAAGTGTCTTTAATGCTTGAGTGATTTTAATACTTTTTATCAAATGTACTTATTTTCTCATGGTGACAAAAAAAATTATCTACGTGAAAATTATTTTACAAAATCAATTTCTGAGTAATCTGTGTAAGGTGAGATTTGTTATGTAATTTTAAATTTAGCGGCGGCAGAATACCTAAAACAAATATTGAGTAGGTAGGTATATAGTTGTAGAGCGTACAAGTAGATGGCGCTTGCATCTTTTACCGGCTACAGGTAATTTAACTCACTGTATTACCGATAATTGCTAGAAAAGGAAAGCAATAGAAGTTGGAGAAAGTGTCAACAGTTAGCGCTGTTAATGACCACGAATTCTGTGCAAGTTTCCTATCTATAGTACCTATCATTTATCTAGGATTATAATATACTGTTTAAATGAAAAATTGAAAAAAGGGGAATAACAAAGGTTCACTGGTCATCACGTTATTGGAAGTTTTCTAAACTAATCATGTTAATCCGATTACTCCGATCAGTAAGATCATTGCTGTTGTAGTTCGGCATTGAAACTGATTTATGTTAAAAAGCGTTTGTAAAGTATTTATTAATGTTGTAATGTTAAATTTTACGCCTAGGTCTCGATTACTTGTGTCTTTTATTCAAAACCGATTGCCACGAATCGGAAACATCAATTAAAGTAAAATCCAAATGCACTGATTAGTGATCCATCTGATCTCAAATCAGAGCTTTGCACACTCTTTTTACGTACAAAGTACAAATCAACAAAGTTAAAATTTCAAATCCACAAAGGTAACCTAACCTAAAATGGGTAGTTTTTCTAAAACCCTAAATTCTTTTTTAAAGAAAAAATCTATAAAATACGGTTTGCCGTTTCTTCTAGTGGTTCTAGGAGGTTCTTTCGGTTTGAAGGAATTTGCCCAGTTACGGTAAATATACCTTCATATATATCTAATCTTATATATTTTTATTAAAAATTGTGTATGCATATTTTTAGTTATCAATTCTCGAAGGTGTCAGTTGTGAGGCCCGAGGAAATGAAGAAGTATGGTATCGAAATGAAAAAACCTGGCGAAGTAACTATAGACACCGAGTTTGAGAAAGTTAAGAAGCTCGATATAGATAACTGGGAGCAAGTCAGGGGTCCCAGACCCTGGGAAGAGAATATTAATTAGACTTTGTAGTGTAAGTTGTGAAAGTAGTACAGAACTGTGATATTTGTAATTCTTACGAAAATAAACACGTTTATTTTAAATTTGTTAGTGATTTTTTCAGTGTTGTGAAATCAGTTCAGGAAGTGAAACGACTGGTGGATATAGATATTTTTTTTTATTAATTTCTTATAAAAAATATACCAAACAAACAATAAATATCTGAGTGTGTAGTAAACAGTGAATTGGGAACAAAAACCACAAATGATGAGTTATTTTAGGTGAAAAGTTACTATTGCGTTACGACATACCAAACAAATATCATACTCGCCCTTCCATTAAATTTAAGGCAAAAAATAGTCATTTGAAATATATCACTAAAATTTAAAAGGCGTTCTCTACTCCAGCAATTTATCGGGGAGTATGATTATTTTTTAGTAATTTTCATTTCCGTCTAACTGGAAACATTTAAATTTAGGTAATTGAGCAACATTTAAAAAAAAAATCGGTGTGTTTTGATAAATCTTCCAGCATGTATATATCACACTGCTATTTAAATCTTCCAGTTATGTAGAATTTAATCCGAGAACAGATAAAAATCGCACTCTCAAATATACAAATAAAAATACCAATACTTTTTCAATTTCGACAAAAAAAAACTGCTTAGTCCGGAAACCACTCAAATTTTTGATATATTTGTCCCTTTTTTTTTGCAAATTATCCACCTAATCGAAAGCAATGTGTCCTCGAGACATCGCAAACTCAAAAATGCCACCGCTGCGTCTACAGTTAGCTTAAGTCTATCTATCAAGGGAAAAACACAAATCGTACGTCTAGCCAGGTACAAATAAACAACAAAAAAAAAATGGGGGTAAACTATTCACTGCCCTCGTCAAACGACTGTTAAAAATATCGAAGGAGACTTATCGCTAATGTTAGTGATCACTGTACAATTCGAGATTAAATTGCTTATGTCCCCCTCCGAAGACTGAATCGTAAATACTTTCAGATCTTTGATATACCACCTAAATACGTACAATATTAAATATATAGCACAAAGTTGATACCTACTGGCCGAGTAACTTGTTAGAAAACGATCAATGCTAACTAAACGTAAAAAAAATTGTAACGTCAGTCCTAAGATTCCTGAAAGCTTGCGCTGGGAGAACTGGCCTAGTCTTGGGTAAATACTAATAAATTTAGAATTAAACACCCGTTGCGAGGATTCGTAATAAAACGTTCATCCCACTTCTGATCCGAAGCGCCAACTCTGACTTTTAGATTCGATGCTGCTAAAAGCATCGAATGGCAACTTGTGACCTTCACGACTGTTAAAAATGCAACAGAACCCATAGGCGGGCAAATACAAATGAAAGAAATGGCAATGCAAACCGTTTCAGTCATGAAAATCGCGTTTTTTTTAAAAGATACGCTACAAATACGATATTTCCCACATAAAAATTCATATAATGAATTATATTTATGTACATCGAATATCGAATAAA